TAAATCCCTCCCAAAAAACCTAGGTCTCCCCCAACAAATGTTTGAGACTAGCTCCCCTAAATCTAAAATATGGATCAAACTGCGCGCGCCTTTGCCCAGAGAGAGCAGCTAAACAGCCACAAGAAACTCACCACTCCTGCCTTGCCATACTGTGGCCCAAAAACGTGGTTCCGAAGCACAGATCCTAATGGATCCTCATGATTTTTGCACTAGATCAGCCAAAAGTCATAATCAGATCAAACATCATGTCCAGGGCACAGCCTGCACCACAAAAAACTCAGATCCACGGCTTCCTGGCCACTCCAAGGCCCAAAACGTGGTTTTGAAGCATGGATCCTCATGGATCCTCACGCTTTTTGCATTGGGCCAACCCAAACTCACTGTCAAATCACACATCATGTCCAGGGGCACAGTCTGCACCACAAAAATCATGGATCCACGGCTTCCTGGCCATACCGTGGCCCAAAAACGTGGTTTTAAAGCACGGATCTTCATGGATCCTCACGTTTTTTGCCTTGGGCCAACCCAAACTCACTGTCAAATCACATATCATAGCCAGGGGCACAGCCTACACCACAAAAAAACTCGTATCCACGCCTGCCTGGCCATACCGTGGCCCAAAAACGTGGTTCCGAAGCATGGATCCTCATGGATCCTCATGATTTTTCCACAAGATCAGCCCAAAGTCATCATCAGATCAAACATCATGGCCATGGGCACAGCATCCACCACAAAAATCACGGATCCATGGCTTCCTGGCCATACCGTGGCCCAAAAACGTGGTTCCGAACCACGGATCCTCGTGGATCTTCACGCTTTTTGCATTGGACCACCCCAAACTCACTGTCAAATCACACATCATAGCCAGGAGCACAGCCTGCACCACAAAAATCACGGACCCACGACTTCCTGGTAAATCCATGGCCCAAAAACGTGGTTTTGAAGTACGGATCCTCATGGATCCTCATGCTTTTTGCAATGGGCCACCTTAAACTCACTGTCATATCACACATCATGTCCAGGGGCACAGCCTGCACCACAAAAAACTCAGATCCACGGCTTCCTGGCAACTCCATAGCCCAAAAACGTGGTTTTGAAGCACGGATCCTCATGGATCCTCACGCTTTTTGCATTGGACCACCCCAAACTCACTGTCAAATCACACATCATAGCCAGGGGCACAGCCTACACAACAAAAACTCGGATCCACGGTTATCTGGCAACGCCATGGACCAAAAACGTGGTTTCGAAGCACGGATCCTCATGGATCCTCATTATTTTTGCACTAGATCAGCCCAAAGTCACAATCACATCAAACATCATGGCCAGGGGCACAGCATCCACCACAAAAATCATGTATCCACGGCTTCGTGGCCATACCGTGGCCCAAAAACGTGGTTTTGAAGCATGGATCCTCATGGATCCTCATGATTTTTGCACAATATCAGCCCAAAGTCATCATCAGATCAAACATCATGGCCAGGGGCACAGCATGCAACACAAAAATCACGGATCCACGGCTTCCTGGCCATACCATGGCCCAAAAACGTGGTTCTGAAGGTCGGATCTGCACGGATCCTAACGCTTTTTGCATTAGGGCACCCCAAATTCACTGTCATATCAAACATCATGTCCAGGAGCACAGCCTGCACCACAGAAAACTCAGATCCACGGTTATCTGGCCACGGCATGGACCAAAGACGTGGTTTTGGAGCATGGATCCTCATGGATCCTCACGCTTTTCGCATTGGGCCAACCCAAACTCACCGTCAGATCACACGTCATAGCCAGGGGCACAGCCTGCACCACAAAAATCACGGATCCACGGCTTCCTGGTCATACCGTGGCCCAAAAACGTGGTTTTGAAGCACGGATCCATCCCACGCTTTTTGCACTAGATCAGCCCAAATTCACCGTCAAATCACACATCATGGCCAGGGGCACAGCCCGGACCACAAAAAACTGAGATCCATGGCTTCCTGGCCATACCGTGGCCCAAAAACGTAGTTTTGAAGCACGGATCCTCATGGATCCTCATGATTTTTGCACAAGACCAGCCCAAAGTCATCATCAGATCACACATCATGGCCAGGGGCACACCCTGCACCACAAAAAACTCGGATCCACGGCTTCCTGGCAACTCCATAGCCCAAAAACATGGTTTTGAAGAACGGATCCTCATGGATCCTCATGCTTTTTGGAGCATCTCCACACCCATTGTTCTGCCCAGACACTGATGTCCAGCACCAAGGGCCTTTTGGTGGTTCCCTCACTGTGAGAAGCAAAGCGACAAGGAACCAGGCAGAGGGCCTTCTTGGTAGTGGCACCCGCCCTGTGGAATGTCCTCCCATTAGATGTCAAAGAGATAAACAACTACCTGACATTTAGAAGACATCTGACGGCAGCCCTGTTTAGGGACGTTTTTAATGTGTGACTTTTAATGTATTTTTATTTCATATTTTTTTTGGAAGCCACCCAGAGTGGCTGGGGAAACCCAGCCAGATGGGCAGGTGTAGTGGTTTGGAGTTACTTGTGCGTAAGCCGACCCCGTTTGGGTGCTTGGTTGCCTGGTTAAACCCTTCGGACTGCACAGCCCATCTCTGCTTGACTGCCTCAGTCACTGGCAGAATCTGTCTGTGGGCGTTTCTTAAACCTCTGCCAGCATAAAAGCTGTTTGACACCTAATCGTCTCCGCCTCTCATTGCGCGGGAGTCTCCTGCGCAGGGTGGGCGTGGGTAGCGGAGTGCCTGGGCTCTCTTCACTGACTTCCAGGGAAGAATCCCGGAGCCCTTCCACCTCCTCTTCCCATTGCTCTCCTGGGCTCTTGGTGTCACGTGTATTTCCTTCCCCTTCCACCAAGCTGAGTCTCCCCCTTGTGCTGGGACCTTCACCTGCAGAATCTGAGACCCTCTCCTTCTCCCGTGTCTCTGATGTCAGTTCCCTGACAGTGACCAAAATGTAAAAGGTCTGGAATCCAAGCCCTATGAGGAGAGACTTAGGGAGCTGGATTTGTTTAATCTAGAGAAGAGAAGATTAAGGAGTGACATGATAGCCACGTTTAAATATTTGAAGGGATGTCATGTTGAAGAGGGAGCAAGCTTGTTTTCTGCTGTTCTAGAGACTAGGATGCAGAATAATGGATTCAAACTATGGGAAAAGAGATTCCACCTGGGCGTGGTAATCCAGTCAGGGAAAAAGGGAGGCATACTATGTTTAGGGCACTGTTTCCAGCCCCTTCCCCTTTTCGGGGTGAGCATAGTGGATCCTAAAAAGGGCTGCTCAGTCATGGATACAGCTGCTGAGCTGCTCAACTGCCTCATTCCTTGAGTCAGAACGACTGAACGCCCATGTGTCGGTTCATGACTAGGGGCTTCACATTCCTGCCCCCGTAGCCATTTAGTGATCGCCATGGGGGGGGGTTTGGGGGGTTGGGTTGGGTTTTTGGAAGATGCCTGTGCGTGAATTTGTTTTATGTGTGTAGATCAGTGCACACTGACCAACGCACAGTCTTCGCAGTAGGGCTCTGTTCTGATGGCATGAGTAGTCACGTCGAACTGGTGGATCCTATCTGCTGCAGCCTTCATCTGCCTTCACAGCCGTTGTAACACACTGTTTGTTATCACCCGCCTGTTCTGCCATTGAGGACTTCTTGGATCATTCTTTGTCTAGCTCCTTCCCTGTTATGTACTAAGCTTGGATCCTAGAACAATAGGCAAGTAGGATCCTAGAATGCAAGAACTGATTGGCTTGCAGGAAAAGACCAATCAGGCTCCAGGAGGGAAGCAGAATCAGCCAGTCAGACGGGACTCATTGTGTAAATAATGTATATAAAAGCCTGAGGTTTGGGGGAAATTCAGTCACTGTTTTACAAGCTGCAATAAAGAGCATGAAATCACTACAGGACTCTGAGCATATTTCATTTTCTTTGACCTTACCACCTTGGGTGACCCTGCTGGGAGTATGAGATTCCCAACGGCTTTGCTCACAAGGGTCATAGGAATGTGCAAGCCCACTCACCATGACAAGTGAGAGAACTGAGATAGATTGCACTGAGCCCTGGTCTCATTAGACAAAGTGTTCCACCAAAAAGGCTCTGGCTCTGGTTGAGGACAGCTGGATATGTTTTGGGCCAGGGACCACCAGTAGGTTGCTGTTAGATGAGCGTCACACTCATGGGGGTGTATTGGAAGATAATTCCCACAGATAAGAAAGGTCACAGACTGTTTAGGGCTTTAAAGATTAGCACCAAAACATTGAACCTGATTTGATACTCCACCTGGAGCCAATCCAGCTGATGAACAACCAACTGAATGTGGGCTCTCCACAAAGTCCAAGTAAGAACTCATGCATCTGCATTTTAGACCATTTGGAGTTTCTGGAGCAGTCTCAAGGGTAGCCCTGCATATCTCTCTCTCTCTCTCTCTCTCTCTCTCTCTCTCTCTCACTCTCTCTCTCTCTCTCTCTATCACATTTATACCCTGCACTCCCCAGCTCAGGTGTACAGCAAGTTAAAGTAGTCTAGTACAGTGGTGCCTCGCAAGACAAAATTAATTTGTTCCGCGAGTTTTGTCGTCTTGCGATTTTTTTCGTCTTGTGAAGCACGGTGTCGGAAAAGTTTTGGGAAAGCTTCAAAAATCACCAAAGTCTTCAAAAACCTCAAAAAAGGCTACCACACCGTGTGCTATGAGTTGCTCCTCGAAGTCAAGTCGCAACTGTATTAACGGTGTTAAGAAAAAGGAAACAAACTTGCAAGACGTTTCCGTCTTGCGAAGCAAGTCCATAGGGAAAATCGTCTTGCGAAGCAGCTCAAAAAACCTAAAACCCTTTTGTCTTCCGAGTTTTCCGTCTTGCGAGGCATTCGTCTTGCGAGGTACCATTGTATGCAGGTGACTACTGCATGGATCACCATGGCTAGGTTGGAAAGGGACAGGTACAGTGCCAATTGCCTAACCTGACATAGATTCAAAAATTCCAGTTTGGCTACATTTGTGACCAATGCCTCCATAGAGACAGAAGCATCCAGGATCACACCAGGACTCCTGATGGCAGCTACAGGTGACTATTGCGCCCCATGAAGAGGTGGGAGCTGGCAAACCAAACTGAAATTATTCTGGCCCAGCCATTGGACGCCCATCCTTAAAGGATAGAGATTCAGCCGACTCCGTTTCCTCCATCCTAGCACACCCACCTAAAAATTGGCCAATATATCCAGGGTAGCATCTGGCCAGGGCCATGAAGCAGTAGATCCATGATGTTTGTGGTCAGATCTGTGGTTATGTACAAGATATGTGAATAAAGGGTGAATTTGGGGTTCCCCAACGCAAAAAGTGTGATGATCCATGAGGATCCGTCCTTCAAAACCATGTTTTTGAGCCATGGAGTGGCCAGGAAGCCATGGATCCGTGATTTTTGTGGTGCAGGCTGTGCCCCTGGACATGATGTGTGATCTGACGGTGAGTTTGGGTTGGCCCAATGTGAAAAGCATGAGGATCCGTCCTTCAAAACCACGTTTTTGGGCTATGGAGTTGCCAGGAAGCTGTGGATCCGTGATTTTTGTGGTGCAGGCTGTGCCCCTGGACATGATGTGTGATTTGACAGTGAGTTTGGGTTGGCCCAATGTAAAAAGCGTGAGGATCCATGACGATCCGTGCTTCAAAACCACGTTTTTGGGCCACGGTATGGCCAGGAAGCCGTGGATCCGTGATTTTTGTGGTGCAGACTGTGCCCATGGACATGATGTGTGATTTGATAGTGAGTTTTGGTTGGCCCAATGTAAAAAGCGTGAGGATCCATGAGGATCCGTGCTTCAAAACCACGTTTTTGGGCCACGATATGGCCAGGAAGCCGTGGATCCGAGTTTTTTGTGGTGCAGACTGTGCCCATGGACATGATGTGTGATTTGACAGTGGGTTTGGGGTGGCCCAATGCAAAAAGTGTGAGGATCCGTGAGGATCCGTGCTTCAAAACCAGGTTTTTGGGCCATGGTGTGGCCGGGAAGCCATGGATCTCAGTTCTTTGTGGTGCAGGCTGTGCCCCTGGCCATGATGTGTGATTTGACGGTGAATTTGGGCTGATCTAGTGCAAAAAGCATGAGGATCCATGAGGATCCGTGCTTCAAAACCACGTTTCTGGGCCATGGAGTGGCCAGGAAGCCGTGGATCCGAGTTTTTTTGTGGTGTAAGCTGTGCTCCTGGCTATGATGTGTGATTTGACAGTGTGTTTGGGGTGGCCCAATGCAAAAAGCATGAAGATCCATGAGGATCCGTGGTCCGGAACCACGTTTTTGGGCCACGGTATGGCCAGGAAGCCGTGGATCCGTGATTTTTGTGTTGCATGCTGTGTCCCTGGCCATGATGTTTGATCTGATGATGACTTTGGGCTGATATTGTGCAAAAATCATGAGGATCCATGAGGTTCCATGCTTCAAAACCACGTTTTTGGGCCACGGTATGGCCAGGAAGCCATGGATCCATGATTTTTGTGGTGGGTGCTGTGCCCCTGGCCATGATGTTTGATCTGATGGTGACTTTGGGCTGGTCTTGTGCAAAAATCATGAGGATCCATGAGGATCCGTGCTTCAAAACCACGTTTTTGGGCCACGGTATGGCCAGGAAGCCGTGGATCCGTGATTTTTGTGGTGGATGCTGTGCCCCTGGCCATGATGTTTGATCTGATTGTGACTTTGGGCTGGTCTTGTGCAAAAATCATGAGGATCCATGCTTTGGAACCACGTTTTTGGGCCACGGTATGGCCAGGCAGGCATGGATCCGATTTTTTTGTGGTGTAGGCTGTGCCCCTGGCTATGATATGTGATTTGACAGTGGGTTTGGGTTGGCCCAATGCAAAAAGCGTGAGGATCCATGAGGATCCGTGCTTCAAAACCACGTTTTTGGGCCACGGTATGGCCAGGAAGCCGTGGATCCGTGATTTTTGTGGTGGATGCTGTGCCCCTGGCCATGATGTTTGATCTGATGGTGATTTTGGGCTGGTCTTGTGCAAAAATCATGAGGATCCATGAGGATCCGTGTTTTTTAACCATGTTTTTGCGCCCCTGCGGCCCCACGAAATAGTGGATGCATGATTTTTTTGATGCTGTCTACAGAGTAAGACATGGTCTACAGTACCATGGTGGTTTAATTTAATTTGAATGAAAAAATCATATGAATTCACGAGGATCCGTCTAGATCCGCCTTTTCCCTTTTTCCCTCTTCTTTCACGCCACTGGAGGAGAGAAAGAATCTCCCCCTTCCGCCCAAGATCCGTCTCCTCCCTCGCTCTACAGCTATTGTGCATATGCAAATGCAGGCAGCCCGGGCCATCTATATATAGCTAGGATTTTTTTGCTACACTTTGCATTCTCTGCTATTTTTTAAAAGGCAGCCCCCCTCCCCGCCTGCCCCCCAACCTCTGCCTCTCTCTCTCTCTCTCGTACACACACACACACACACAGACACACAACCCCCCCGCCATATAAATTTCCCCTCCCCCTGCAGCCGGCCCCGTCGCATGCAACATTGATTGTCTGTTATATTACATTTATTAAGGAGTGATAACTTGTAATAATTGGATGTTAAATTAAGGAACTCTTTCCTAGTTATTGCCGTCTCAATTATAATTGTCATTTGCTGGCAGTTATGATGATATATGAGGGTTGTATTTTACTCAGCCGACCATGACCCGGTGAGTAATATTCCCTCCGCTCGAGGGGCAGCGAGGCGCTCGGTGCCTCCCAGCGCCAGAGCTGCCTGGAATATTAAGTTTCGGGCTGGAGAGGAGGAGGAGGAGGAGAGGGACCGGACCCTTCTCGCAGGAGCTGCGCTGGCCTTGCCCGAGGGTCCCACGGACGGCAGCTGGCACGGGGCGAGGCTGCGAGGCTAGGCGCCCGTGGGGAGAGGAGACGGGGTTGCCTTGGACACCCAGCCGCGCGTTCGAATTCTGCTGCTGCCGCCGCACCCAGCGGTGTTGCTTGGCAGGAGGTGGCGGAAAGTATATGCGGGAGGGCTTGGTTCACCCTCGCAGTAAACTTTTTGTTAACATTAAAATTTAAAAATATAACAAAAGGGAAATAGTTGCATAGCAGAAAGCGCTGGAGTCGAATACAACGCCAATTCCTGCAGAGAGAAAAGAAAATGGTGGTTGTTTTCTTACGCTCAAGTCAAGAGATACCCCTGCAAACTTAGCAAATGAAAGAGGGTTTTTGTGTTTGTTTCATGAAAATGTTGTTACGGAAAAATCTAGGTGTGAGCCTGCGGGTCCCTGCGGAATAAAGGAAGGATTCCAGCCACCAACCGCAGCAAATAGCTGTAAACCAAAGTTTACTGCGCAATAGGTTCAAAGAAGAAATTTGAACCCCGAGGATGGGGTGACAAGAACTTTTAAAACTTTCCCACCATATCCCAGAATACAGTTCGTACAGCATCATTGCTACATCACTGACATGACCAAAATGACCCTCCTCCGCTAATCACAATGGCAATGTTTCTTCCCTCCCAACAGATGGCAGGAAGCTGCCTTCTGGTGGGGCAGAGCTTGCAATGGTCTCCACAGGAAGGATGGAGTGGCAGCAGAGTTTCAAGCAGTGAACCCTACCTGGAGATGCTACCGGTGGAGGACCTGGGAGGACCTTCTGCATGCTGAGCATCTGCTCTGCCATTGCACTCCACCCCCTCCCATCAGGAACAATAGCCTTCTTGAACACAGGCAAAGAAACCTCCATGGATGGCATTTGGGGACCTCTATTTTGGGGTAGCAAAATGTCCCAAAACAAGGGCACTCCCCATCTGCTTCTCTAGGTTAGTTTTTGTCTGAAAAATTACAGAGGATACCCCCTCAATACTGCCTAGGACAGGGGTTGTCAACCCGGTCCCTACCGCCCACTAGTGGGCGTTTCAGGATTCTAGGTAGGTGGTTGGGGGTTCTACGGGACAAGCTGAATCCTCTTTCCATCGAGCTCTGGTGGGCGGTAAGGAAATTTTACCATCAAGAAAGATGCATTAGTGGGCGGTAGGTATAAAAAGGTTGACTACCCCTGGCCTAGGACAAAAAAGCCCCCAATGGCAAAAACCAATCAATTCACTGAGATGCCCCCCGCCCCCTGCCCGTCTGAGGCAGTTTATCCGTACAAAAAGAAAACTGCAAGTGGCTGAAATTTGGGGATAGCCTTTACTGTGAAGATAACAAAAACCTACCCCCTCCTTGTTTTTGGCTTATTTCTATGCAAAATCTGCACTGCGGCTTTTGAAGATGTTTGGGCAAGAATAGGCATTTTTGTAAAAGGGGCGCATATTGAGAGGGCAATGGAACAGATGCCTGTCAAAACCAATGCTCCATTTATGAAAATTAATATAGGGTGGTGTACTTTTCAGAAAGTTTTCTCCCTCTTCCCACCCCCACCTTGCAATCATCTCATGTTGTGCCATAAATCTGTTAACTTTGGCAAGGGCCTCAAAACTTTTCTAGGAACAGCTTTTGGGGAAATGGTTCCTTCCAGCCCTCATGCTGCCAGGCTAGTCCCACAATTTATTTAATTCTGTTTGCCAGGGGGCTTTCCCCCATAAAATGAAAACAAAAGCAAAACAAATCTTAAGGCAACATATAAGGGTTTTTTCTTTCTTTCTATAAACAACAACAGAAACAATAGCAACGAATTCCTAAAGCCAACTCACACCAAGGCAAGAGTGAAGCTCACAAGGAGCTGTGGCTCCTCGTCCATGATACGTGGACCAGATGGTGCTTTGCAGCCTGAGCAAAGGAAGGCGCTGCCCTCCTCCAGGGTGCTGGCCCTTGTCTCTGTCTTTGTTAACTCAGTGCCTTTGTTACCAGGCAGAATTGGCATGTAACGCTGGGTAAAGAAAGGTCTCAGGTTACAGCATTCCGTGTGGTGGGACAGTGGGGGAAGACATCTTAAGGCAGCCCTGTTCAGGGAAGTTTTTAATATGTAACGCTGTACTGTTTTTAACACTTGATTGGGAGCCGCCCAGAGTGGCTGGGGGAACTTAGCCAGATGGGCGGGGTATAAATTATTATTATTATTATTATTATTATTATTATTATTATTATTATTATTATTTGTGTGAGACTGTGTAGCAGTTTGAAGAAGAAGAATTGGAACTGTGGACAAGACTGAAGACTTTGTCAAAAATTGCAAGAGCTTGCAAACAGCTGAACTCAGGACTTTTTACACAGCAAGGACTTTGAAGCAAAGAACCCTCTCTGGGCTCAGAGAGCGAGAGAGAATACTACCTGTAATATCTGTAAACAGTGTGTATATGAAGAGTGTGTGTTGGTGTTATCATGGTAAGGATTACTCTGCTAAACGGCTGTTTTCTGCAGTGAGCTTAACTGATTGTCCGAGCTTCTGCAACGCATACACCCAGCACCCAACAAAGGAACCATCTTTGGTTTCTGGTTCCAGCAAGTCAGGTGTCCCTGTGGAACTAGCCTGACTTGCTGGTGTTTGCTGTTGGAATACAATGGGGAAGTTGATCTAGTTTATGCACTAGTTTAGACACAAAAAACAACCAGTGTGTGGAATACTAACTGCAGCTGAAATTAAATTGACAGAAGGTTCAGGACACTTTTGCAGACGTCAAAATAAAATAGATTCCACAAAGGAACATTTTGAAAATAAGAGTCACGTGTACATAAGGCAGCCTCACCACATAGAGGCAACTGTTGTTGGGGGCCTCTGCAGCATGATATTGTTATTTAGAAAGCATATAAATGTAACGTAGGGCTTTTGAAGTAAAATAAGTTTGGCCTCAAAATTGTCAGTCACTTGCCCAACCAGGTTCCCAGGGAGGGCTCGTCTGAGGAAGAGGCATGGGCACCATGAACTGGGGACACAGAAGAGCCTGCTCCAGTCCCAAGGCAGTCTGGTGTGCTTGATCTCATGAAAATCTTGCCTGCCACCCCAAACACCCCCTCCAATTTTCACCCTGAAACCCCTCATGACCCCCCTAATGATCCCCCTTTGCCCCCCTGGATCTCAAGAGTGGCAGCAGCCGCTACCCAGTGGGAAGCCAGGGTGTTTCTGCCAGGAGAAAAGGTCTACTTAGGAGGAGGGAGAAAGCTGAAAAGGCTTGACTGTGAACCAGGCAAGGGCAAAACAAGACCCTCATATTTTCCTGGGCCTTTGTTGGTTTATCACCTTCAACTGTCCTAATCTCTCTCTCTCTCTCTCTCTCTCTCTCTCTCTCCTTCCCCCCCTCCCGACCCCATTGTGAGGTGCTGGTTATAGAGCAAAATCCAAATGTTGAACTCAAAAAAGAGACATTTTGATCCCCCATTCCTATATGGCAAGGGTGTCTAATTCTCAAGAGATTGCGATCTACTTTCCGAATTAAAAACTGGCAGTGATCTACCCAGGTTCAGCTCAAAGTTGTTGAGCTTTTTAGGGAGGAGAAAAGCCCCATTTTTAGGGGTTATAAAAAAAGCTTTTGGGGGGGAGTTCTGTTTTGTGGGGGGTTAAAGGGACAAAGGGGTATAGTCACTCACAGAAAGAGCACTATGGATCAAAACAGCAGCCAGAGAAAGCTCTGTCTTCCCTTCCAGAGATCATACAACAATGGAGGGCAGGGCAAGGGGGCATGGCAGGAGTCAGTTTTAGCGACGCTAAGGAAAGGGAGCCAGAGATAGACCACAATCTACCAAAACCTTGCAGGGATCTGCCAGATCACGATCAACCTGATGGACATTCCTGCTATATGGAACCTCCAGGTTTTGAGGCAGCCTACCTCAAAATGTCCATTGTTGGGCAGGGGGAGGGTGATCAGGGTGACAGATATCTTGAAACCCAGTGGAGATGCTGCAGCAAGAATGGAGTCTATTCTTATCTTCTTGCTTAAATAGAAATTGAAATTTGTGATGGTTCTACTAGCTGAAAGACTTACAATCACTGAACATTATAGACACAGCTAGTTCAGGTGGATTTTGTCCCTAGCAGACCAGTTCTGCACCATCCATGTGGGAAGTATGTAGCAGCATTCATCTGCAAGGTTTTGTTCATAGGCCCTCTCTTGGAATTGTGGTGTGAGGAGCAGAAAAAGCATATGATCGTCTAGAGTGGACCACAAACTGAAGGATTATCTCTGGGCAGAGATATGGCAGGGACTGACTGTGGCATCTGCATATGCTCAACAATTGGATATTTCTTCATTACGGATGAGGCTCAGTGCCCCCTCCCTTATTTATTACCTCCTTTTTTGCAGTGACAGTTACAGTCCTTTACAAAGGTAATCAGGCTGAATCTTAGAATTCAAAAATGGGCCCTACACAATGCCACTTATTAATGGGCAGCCGTAAAGTAAAGTAAAGTAAAGTAAAGTAAAGTAAAGTAAAGTAAGGCAAAGTAAGGCAAAGTAAAGATAAGATTCAGGTTTAAACTTGATAAATCAGAGATCCTGGGCCGAGTTCTTCTCTTGCCCGGAGTAATTAAAATTCCTGTCACTGAAAGCAATCTATAAGAGAATTTGGCTAAAAGCAGAGTTTGCAATAAAGAGTATAATGAAACTGAAGCCTTGAAACTCGGCTGAAGGAGATAGCATGGGGAAATGTCAATAACTGTGGCCTGGCCAGATTGCAACTGTGGAATTGAGCATTGTTAACTGGAATAAATCTTTTGCTTCAGGCAAGTGCTTAAAGAACCCGTGTGGTGTAGTGGTTAAGAGCAGTGGACTCGTAATCTGGTGAATGGGGTTCGATTCCCCGCTCCTCCACATGCAGCTGCTGGGTGACCTTGGGCCAGTCACACTTCTCTGAAGTCTCACCTCACAGAGTGTTTCTTGTGGGGGAGGAAGGGAAAGGAGATTGTTAGCCACTTTGAGACTCCTTAGGGTAGTGATAATGTGGGATATCAAATCCAAACTCCTCCTCCTCCTCCTCCTCCTCTTCTTCTTCTTCTTCTACTTCTTCTTCTTCTCCTCCTCCTCCTCCTCCTCCTCCTCCTCTCGCTTCTGAGAGCCAGTGTGGTGCAGTGGTTAAGAGCGGTAGACTCGTAATCTGGGCGACCAGGTTCGCGTCTCTGCTCCTCCACATGCAGCTGCTGGGTGACCTTGGGCCAGTCACACTTCTCTGAAGTCTCTCAGCCCCACTCACCTCACAGAGTGTTTGTTGTTGGGGAGGAAGGGAAAGGAGAATGTTAGCCGCTTTGAGACTCCTTAAAGGGAGTGAAAGGCGGGATATCAAATCCAAACTCTTCTTCTTCATCTTCTTAAAAAGGAACAGTGGTTAAATTTTTATTATTGGGGGGGGGGCAGGGACAGGACGGGACAAAAAAAATCTCATTGGGCAACTTGGCAAATGTCCATGGGAACACAGTGAGGAGCCTTGTACAAAGTGAGACCATTGGTCCCTCTAGCTCAGCATTGTCCAGACTGGCTGCCAGCAAGAGCTGTCCAGGGTTACAGGGTGAGGGCCTTCGCAGCCCTGCCTAGAAAGGCTCCTGCATGCAAATGTTCTGCTTTGCTACTGAAGCATATTGCCTTCCCTTCAGACAGGCAGCATGGGACTCCCTGGGGACTTGTCCTATATGACCAGAACTCTGTGGGAGGTCACTGGAGAGGCCACTTCCCCCAGGGATTTTCCTTTTGGCTGGATACATTTTGGGGATGAGAATAAAGACTAAGCAACCAGATGGCAATGTGGGGAGCAGATATTGGGGAGAGATTGGTTGGTCATCTCAAAACAGGCACTAGAACAACATATCTTGACCCTCATCAGAGAGAGAGAGGTTTCCTACTGAGGTGCTACATCAAGCCAAGATGGACAGTAAGTTGTAGATCACTGAGGTTTGTTTTATTTTGTTTAAGAAAATGTTTAACTACTTTAGTGAAACCTCAAAGCAGTTTTGCAAGAAATATTAGAATTTTCAATAAGGAACAATTACAAATGTTTAAAAATAATTACAATTATCTGGGTTGTTTTAGTTCCTCTGGAAAAACCACAGGGATTGTTGCAAAGGCTTCAGTAGTCATAGCAGTTATGATTCACTAATCAAGCACCTAGATATGGCACAGAGATTAAAATATAAGGCAGCCTCTCTCACAGCCTTATAGTTTAATAGAAACGGTACAAAAGGAAAAGGGGGTTGGGGAGGGAAGAGGAAAAGAAGCAGCAAACTCAGCTCTCATTGCCATCTGTTCCATATTATCAAGTACTCAGGCCTTCCCCCTTGACTAGCGGCAGAGGTCAGAGGGCATTTTGCCCCTTCAGCCCTGTAGTCAGAGGGCAACTGGCAGATGGAGTTGATTTCTCTTTGGATAAACACTTGCTTGGTGTTCTTGACTGTTTTGCTTCCTCAAGAAGAAGAGGTTGGAGCAGTGGTTCCCAAAGTGGGGGGTAGCGCCCCTGGGGAGTGGAATTCGCTAGGGGGCAGTAAGAGACAAGGGGGCAGCAGAGGGGTGCTGAAGGTACAAATAGCTATCAGACTTCTGAAATCATGGGATCAAGTTAATCAGCCTTTTTTATTTAATCAAACAAAATAGTTTTAATCGGATTTTTAGTAAACGTGCAATTAATTGGTAGTGTCTCGAACTTTATTGTGTTATTTTCTTCCTCCGTGCAAACCACTAAACAATTGGGCAGGGTAGGGAGCCCTAGGCCTGAGTTTATGGAACCAAGGAGGCAGTGGTCCCCCTCCCCCCCCAAAAAAAAGTTTGGGAACCACTGAGTTAGATACTGTGCACATGAGAAATTTTCACCTCTCTCCAAAAATAAGCAAAGGGAACTGGTTCCAAAAGGGCTTCAGTTGGCAGCACCCGCAAGGATTCAGTTCCAGATGGAGATTTACTTAC